TTTTTTTTTTTTTTTTTTTTTTTTTTTTTTTTTTTTTTTTTTTTTTTTTTTTTTTTTTTTTTTTTCGTTTGTTTTGTTTTTTATTTGTTTGTTTAGTTCTTTATTTATTTATTTATTTATTTTTTTTTTGTTTGGTTTTTTGTTTGTTTATTTTATTTGTTTATTTATTTATTTTGTTTGTTTGGTTGGTTGTTTGTGTGTTTATTTATCTCTTTATTTATTTTTTTAATTTATTTACTTTTTTGTTTATTTATCTTTTTGTTTTGTTTATTTTTTTAATTTGTTTATTCGTTTTTTACTTATTTGCTTGGTTGTTTGTTCATTTCGTTTTTTTTCTTACTTTTTTGTTTTTTGTTTGGTTGTTTATTTATTTATTTATTTATTTTGTTTTTTCTGTTCGTTTGTTTGTTTATTTATTTGTTTTGTTTTTTTGTTTGTTTGTCTGGTGGTTTGTGTGGCTGTTTATTTATTTATCACATCTATGTATTTATTAGGGGTTTATTTATTTATTTATTTATTTATTTATTTATTTGTTTGTTTATGTTTGTTGTTGTTTTATTCATGTTTATTTTATTTATTGGTGCTGATTTGTTTATCTTTATATTTATTCTATTCGTGTATATGTATATTTGTATTTATATTTATAATTTATATATTTATATTTTTTATATTCATATATACATAAATATATTTATTAAAATACAAAAAATAAAAAAATATATAAAAAAAAAATATAAATGTTTTTTGTGCTCAGGAGCCACGTGTACTGGTTCCCCCCGCTCGTCCGGGTGTATCTGCAGCAGCAGCAGCAGCAGCAGCAGGAGGATCAGCAGCAGCAGCAGCAGGAGCAGCAGCAACAGCAGTGTGCTGCAGCAGCTGCGGCAACTTCGTTGTCGTTGGGTATGCTGATGGCCGCATGCATAAATTTAATTTACAATCGGGGCTGCACCGGGGGGAGTTTTTGCTGCCACACACCAGCAGCAGCAGCAGCAGCAGCAGCAGCAGCAGCAGCAGCAGCAACAGCAGCAGCAGCAGCAGCAGCAGCAGGAAGAAGCAGCAGCAAGGACTTGAAAAAGCACATAAAGGGGCTGTCTGCGGCGTCAGTATGATGGGCTCTTCTTTTGTTATTTCTGCTTCCTCTCACCCGGACGTAAGAAAAATAAAAATAAAAAAATAAAAATAAAAATAAAAATATAAATAAAAATAAAAAAATAAAAATAAAAATAAAAATATAAATAAAAATAAAAATAAAAATAAAAGCAGCAGCAGCAACTGTTACTGCTGTTGGTGCTGCTGCTGCTGCTGTATGTTATCCCTACCCCGTCCTTTTGCTGCAACTGCAGCAGCAGCAGCAGCAGCAGCAGGAGCAGTTCTCTTGCCGTTTCAGTTCCATCTGCTGCTGCTGCTGCTGCTGCACTTCCCGCATTTCCTCTTTCTTTTCCTGCTGCTGCTGCTGCTGCTGCTGCTGCTGCTGCATTAACCCCATCTTCTGCTCCTTCTGCTGCTGCTGCTGCTGCTGCTGCTGCTGCTGCGTTTCAGGATTGCAGTTTTTTGTACTGGGAGCTGCGGGGGGAGAAGTACAACGGCTCTGTGTCTCTGCTGCTGCCTGATGGGAGCAGCGGTGGGGGTTTGGTGCTGCTGAGGGTTTGGGGTGTATTGGCAGCTGGGGTGTATAGATGCGGTTCAGTTTGTTTAGTAGATAGTTTATCTAGAACGAGAATAAGATTAATAAATAATATAACTCCTTTTGTTTCTCTCCCTGCTGCTGTTTCTCTTTCTTTTTCTGCTGATGGGCGTATGATAGCCGCGGGGTGTATAGACACCTCAATCTGGGTTTATGATATTCTTTCTGCTTCTTTTGTTGATTGGGTTTCACTTAAACACACTACTAACTTTCTTCTTTTTCATCCGTCGGGGGCATCGCTCCTTACTGCGCCCTCGCACCAC